GTGTGTGTGTGTGTGTGTGTGTGTGTGTGTGTGTGTGTGTGTGTCCGAACTATACTCAGTTTGTGTGACTGGAGTGTACTACTCAGTATTCAAGGTGAGGAGACCAGGCAGAGCGGGGACCAACCAAACGTCACTGATGGTTTTGAGTTACCACTACTCACAGCCAGCCAGTCGATGCCAGCTCATAGACAGGGTGGAACTGCTCCTGTGGGTTTCCGAGAGCGTAACTCTTTATGGGAGCAGCAAGCCCCATCTTTCCCCCTAGGAGGGGCTGGTGGTTTTGAACTGTTGATCTTACAGTTAGCAGCCCAACGCATAACCACTACACCACCAGGGTGTCCGCGTCTTGAGTAGGGTATGCAAGCCAAGCCAGACTGCGTGCTTTGGAGCGCCCCCATGGAGAGCAGTGTGTCCTAGACAGGCCTGGGCCGAGATGGGCCAGCTGAGGGATGTGGGGGGGAAGGCTGCTGGAGCCTGGACTGGCCCGATGGCAGTGGGGACAGAGAAGGGAGGTGTGAACTGACACCAGATGAAAGAGAAATGTGAAATAACCTTATAGCTGTTAAAGAATTTAAAGTTTTATTTATTTTGTAATGAAAACAAACCCAAACCCCAAAACCTCTCCACAAAGGAAACCGTCAGGTCCATATAGTTTCCCTGGTAAAGAACTCACATCAGCCTGACACAAACTCGATCTGCAGCCGGGGACACTGACGGACTTGGGAGACACTGATGGCCGTGGGCGGAGGGAAGGAGGGAGAGGCAGGAGGGGGAGATGGCTTCCCAGGTGTCTGGCTTGTTAGGCAAGGCCACACTTGGAAACTGGGAACACAGAAGGAGGGGGAGAGAAGGGGAGGGGCTTGGGATGGGTATGTTTTGTTCAGGCTGGGTTCCAGGTAGGGGAAGTCTGAGCTACAGACAGGGAGCTGGTGGGGGAGATCATTAGCGGATCAGTGGGTACACCAAGGTGAGCCTTCGATTTCTAGGGACACCTATATCGGGCCTCAAAAAACCTCAAACTCACTGCCGTAAGTCGATTCCGACTCACAGCTGCTGGTGGCTTTGAACTTCTGACTTTGAAGTTAGCAGCCCAATGTACAACCCATTACACTACCAAGGATCCTCATCTTGTGCACAGATAACTTATAGTTAAACCCTAGGGAAGAATGGAGGGGTGGGGATGCTGAGATGGATTAATAGCTGTGAGACAATTAGAGCGAATTGAGTGTTGAGTTGTTGAAACCGGGGCTGGGCTGGGCTCTTAGATCAGAGAATCTTAGTTCTGGTCCAGGGTTGAGAGGTGGGATGGGGTGGAAGGGCCATCCCTGCCTGACCCTGCCTGCTTCTGTCCCGGCAGCCCCCTCGGCGGTGCACTGTAAACCCATGGTGGTGGACAGCCAGCTATATGTGGTCGTGGCACAGCTATTTGGTGGCTCTTACATTTACCACTGGGACCCCAATACCACGCGCTTTACCAAGCTACAAGACATCGACCCCCAGCGTGTTCGCAAGCCCAACGATTTGGAAGCCTTCCGCATCGATGGGGACTGGTACTTTGCTGTGGCTGACAGCTCCAAGGCTGGTGCCACCAGTCTCTACCGCTGGCACCAGAATGGCTTCTACTCCCACCAGGCCCTACACACCTGGCACCGCGACACCGACCTGGAATTTGTGGATGGCGAGGGCAAACCTCGGCTGATTGTGTCTAGCAGTTCCCAGGCACCGGTCATCTACCAGTGGAGTCGAACACAGAAGCAGTTTGTGGCCCAGAGTGAGGTGACCCAGGTGCCTGATGCCCAGGCGGTGAAACACTTCCGCGCCGGCCGAGACAGCTACCTGTGCCTCAGCCGCTACATCGGGGACTCCAAGATCCTGCGCTGGGAGGGTACCCGCTTCTCCGAGGTGCAGGCCCTGCCCTCCAGGGGCTCGCTGGCCCTGCAGCCCTTCCTGGTGGGAGGCCGCCGCTACCTGGCGCTGGGCAGCGACTTCTCCTTCACCCAGATCTACCAGTGGGATGAGGGGCGGCAGAAGTTTGTGCGCTTCCAGGAGCTGGCTGTGCAGGCCCCGAGGGCCTTCTGCTACATGCCGGCTGGCGACGCCCAGCTGCTCCTGGCCCCCAGCTTCAAGGGACAAACCCTTGTGTACCGACACGTCGTGGTGGATCTCAGTGCCTAGAGGGTGCCCAGTCCCTCCGGGTTCCTCAGGGCAGCCGCTAGGGGCTGGTGTGGGAGCAGTGTGTGTGCCCGTGTGGAAGGTACATGTAGCCAACTTGCACATACATGCACACACCATGGGCAAGTCCAGGGGGCCCAGCATCCCAGATGTAATCCGCATGAACAATTTGTATATATCCCAGGTACACCCGGGCAGCCCAGCCCACCACCGTGCCCCCTCGACATGGCCCACCCTGCAGCCCCATCATCCTGCTGCCTCCGTGACTCGTGCACATACTCATGGCTGGGAGAGGGGTGCTGGGAGGGAGGACTCTCACCCTCGCTGGTCTTTCCCCGTTGGTGCTCCAGGTGTTGGTTGACCTACTCACCTCTCCATCGCAGCCAACAGCCATATCTACCAGTGTTCTTCTTCAGCCATGCTGGCCCCACCCAGTGACACACGCACACGTCCCTGTCAGTACCCCTGTTTCCATATACACGGATCCAGGAGTGTGTGTGCGTGCGTGCGTGCGTGCGTGCGTGCCTACAGAGTCAGCTCTGCCCCCAAGGGCCCCTTTGCTGTTCTTGGGCTCTGCACGGTACCTGTTCTTGCTCTGCTCACACTTCCCCACTCCCACCCAGCTCCCTGCTGCTGACAAGCTGGGGAATGGTGGTCCCAGCCTCTGTGCTCCAGCTTGACCAGCTTCTGGGGGCCAATCCCCCACTGCCCCAAAGCAATAATAATAATAATAATAATGACACCAACAGCAGACCTGGGGTTCTCTCTGTGCTGCCTCTGATCTCACTGGAGGGGCCTGACTCCCCACTCACCTGTGACCAGGAGGCCACCCAGGTGAAAGCCTTCTTGCTTCTCTTCTCTGTAACTGCTGCTGTGGAGACCTTGGGCCAGCCACATCCTGGGCCTGTGGCCTCGAGGCCACACCCAGGAACCTGCAGACACACTACCTATGCAGGTGCCAGGATCAGAGCTCCCTTGCGCACAATTGGAGGGTTCTCTTAAATCACGGGGTACCCACCCCCACCCCCAAGCTTCTCTGCCTTTCCGAGGGGGTGAGGGGCCTGCAGGAGGGGCGGCACCTGGAGCCAGGCTTCTGCTGCCCTCTGCTGTCAGCTGGGAACATAGACCTCTGAGCTGGAAGGCCTAAGGAAGGGGGATGGAAGGGGGTGTCTTCCCTGTGTCCAAGGTTTTGTGAGGGTTTCCTGGGGCAGGATGCCCAGGGGCACTTAGGGGCAATGCTATGATTCACTTGCTTCAAATAAAAAGTTTGAACCCCCTTGGTGGCTGCCGGGTGTCCAGTGGTGACTGAGTCAGTGACGGCTACCTGTCCCTGCTCTCCCTCTGAGCGGGCCTAGCTCTAGCTTTCCCAGCCTCCTCCTGCCATGCCCTTCCCTCTGAGAAGCAGGCATTCTCACCATCAGCTGAGCCGGGGTCAGAAGTGCATGCATGATGACACTCAGAGCTGGGGCAGGGTGACTAGTCGCTACCACCTGGGGCTGACTCACGGCCGGTGCTCCTTCCTGGAGAGCCTTCCTGGAGTTGTGGGGCCCCATGAGGCTAGTCTGTCCCTGTCAGGTCAACTCCAACGGCCAAGGCCAAAGACGGCCAAGGCCAAAGACAAGCTCAGCACTGTTCCCTGCCCCGCTCCCTCTCCCAGCACCTCTGCTTGGCAAATGTCTGTCACCGCCCCACCTAGGGGAGGTGCCTTGGGGTCCTCTGCAGTGCATTGGTCTCTCTTTTCCCCGGGTTGAGTCAGCCACCAAGCCCCCGCCATTCTTCCTTCCACACGCTGACCAGGTAGCCACACTCGTTGCCTCTGAGGTGTCTTAGTCACCGAGTGCTGCTCCCATGGGTCACCTGACAAAACAGAAGTGTATTGTTGGGTTTCTGGAGTCGGCAATGCCTCGGTTCTTGGAGCCATATGATGAAAGAATTCACGCCGAATCCCGTTTTGCAAACCAAGTGGGCTTTTAGGAAGGACGGGACAAGTTTCAGGTTTTACAGTCTCAGAGGGGTTCACCACTACACCTGAACAACCACGTGGAAAAGAGCACCCACGTGAGCTGATCTTGGGGGGATCCTGGGAGGCCAGAAGCTCAAGAACCCTAGAGGCTGAGAGCATGTGAGCCAAGAGGCTGTGAGCCCTGAGTAGGCCAGGAGTGAGCACATGTATGTCCGTGCGGGGAGGGAGACCCTTCCCCTCTACCTGCCTCTGACCAGGAGCAGGGTAAGAGGTCCCAGAGTGGGCTCCCTGCCTTTATTCTAGCCCACCCCCTGGCTGGCAGAAGGCGTGGTTGCTGGTATTGGTTGACCCCATTGGCTGAGTTAGGCTCACCTGGATGATGTCATGAGCCTGGGCCTAGTTTGGCGCACCCAAGTGTACCTCCCACCTGGCTCAGGGGCTTGAATAGTAGCATGCTTACTTTGGGGCCTTCATAGGTGTCTAATGGTTGCCTGATTTCTTTCCAACCTCCTCTATGGGGACCTTTGCAGGCATGAATGGGACAACCCCAGTTCCTAAGCTAACTACCTAACATATTCTCTCACAGGTTAGGAGGCTGGAAGTCTGAATTCAGGCTGCCAGTTCCCGGAGAAGGTTCTTGTCTCCTTTCCACATCTGTGGGCCCCATGTCCCTGGAGCTCTCCATGTTCAGTCTCCCCCTGGGTCTAGGTGATTCTCAGCCCAGGCGCCCAAGGGTCCAGAGGACACTCCCTGCTCTATCTTCTTGGTGGTAGTCAGAGCCACAGGTGGGACTCGAGCAAGGCTGATGCTGGATGAAGGCTGGTGACTGGGGTAAAGGTGAGGCTTAAGTCGCGCCCTCTTATAAGGCTGTGATTCAATACATCCCTCCCGAATTTGACCTTATTGACAGGTTAGGATTCACAACACTTAACACAAAATAGGAGATAGTTCACCCAATCCCAAGATGGCAGGCAAAGTCCTGGGAGTCATGGCCTTGCCAGGTCGATACCTATTTTCAACCCAACTCACTGCCATCAGGTCGATCCCAACAAACAGCCTCGCTCTAAGACAGGAGAACTGAGGTCCCCCCACCCGGGCGTGTGTTTCCGAGACTGCAGATCCTAATGGGAGCAGAATACCTCATCTTCCTGGCTCAGATTAGCTGGCGGTTTCGAACTGACGACCTTGTGGTTAGCACCCCAACGCATAACCCACTGAGCCATGGAGAACCCTTGACACCTGTGTTGAGAGGACACAATGTAATCCTGGACAGTGGATTCTGACTCCAGAAAACCCGCAGGTGCCGCAGAGTGGAAGTGCTCGGCGGGGCTTTATGAAAGCAGCTCACAGGGCCTCTCTTCAGAATGCCCCTGGGAGGGTCCACACCAGCAATTTTCCAGCTGGGAGGTCTTTTTGCACCTCTCCCTCCTACAACCTTTGCCCAGACCCCCTTCGTCACACATCATCTTGGGTCCTTGGCCACAACTCCCTGGCTAATCCTCCTGAAAGAGACTTGGCCTGTAGTATTAAATTAAAAAATGACGCCGAGGGAGGGTGAAGGGCCAGCCTCCACCGGCTGCTACTACTATTACTACTACTCAGATTCAGTAATACTACTTCTGGGTTCAGTAATGCACAATTGTACGGTTGAGATATATAAGCATTATATTAAAGTCATTGAGAGCATGAGAGATAATACAATAATACAGTCAGGCATGTTACATGGTACCATTGCTCACCTCAGCCCAGCTTGGTGGTCCATGTGGAGAGAGGGGGAAGGGAAGGAGGGGAAGGGAACAAGGTAGAGGGGAGTGACCAGGGAGTGAGCAGCAAGGAGCTCAGAGTCAGAGAGTGATCTATAGTGCTGGCTCACACCTGTATACCTTTTGGGGGTAAGCCAGCCCACTAATTACAGGTAGAGACATACATCACAGGAAGGGGCTGCACTATAGGTTACACAGCAATGAGGGGGTGGTCTAGGGCCATACATACAGTAGGAAGAGGGACAGCTGGTTGGCCTGTCCCTCGCCCAACTGATAGAGACCATTATCAGTAGGATGCGAACCCCTCCTACAGGAGCCTGTCCATTGTCCCCAGAGGCAGGGAGCAGGCCTGTGGAGGGATGAGACGGCAGTCTGGCAACTGATTGCCCTCAGTGGGGGAATGCCTGTGCATCTGACCTCCCCCCACATTGGCCCAGCTCAGAAACTTCCCTTCCCTCCCCGTTGCTCCTGGCCCTCTAGCTCACACGAAGGTCCTCTGGCCTCTGGTCCTGCCTTATGAGATAGCTAAGCGCCCATGGGCAGCCACAGTGCCACACTGGGTTTCAGAAGGGAGTTGAAAACCTCTGACCAAAAGGAGCGAGGGAGGAGTCAGGTGTGGGTCAGACAGGAATAGGAGTGAGGTCTGGCGAGCAGTGATATGAGTCAGTATGGTTAGGAAGGGTCCTGGGGACAGCTGTGTGGCAAAATGGGGGTGTTTCTGACTTACTTGCTGCCATGACCTTGAATCAATGGGGAGTCAGACCCTTTGTTACCTCGTGAAAGTCGTGGACAGAGGGAGCGAGGATGGGAGGGGTGGCACCGAGGGAGATGAGTGACTCCAGAAAGGGAAGGTCACTTACCTTGTCAGAGCCTCCGGGTATTCGTTCGCTCTGCAGGGCCCGCTCAGTTCTCACGGACCACTGAGCAGCCTTCCTGGGTTTGTCTTTCTGGGACCACTGTGAGCACCTGCTCTGGGAGCTTGGGGAGCTCCCGGGCAGTGAGGAGAGCAGGCTCCTGCAGGCAGTACCGTGTGGTGGGCAACTGCCCTCTGGGCTCTGCTGTCGGAACCAGCGTGCATTTGACACTCAGTGGCCCAGTGTGGCTGAGGAGAACTGGCCCAGAGGTTTTCAGGCTGTACCCTTTTCTCTTTCTTCCCCCAAATAGTTTTGTTTCTATTTTTAAAATCATAAAACAAATCCGGGCTCAATATAAAAATAAACGAGAAGCTACGGGAATGTCTAAAGAAATAAAAACCATTGTCAATATTTTTGTACATTGCAATCCAAGACTATTTCCATCTGTCTGTCTTTTAACAGGTTTATGAGCACGTCATCCATGTGTCGTACAATTCCATCAGTCCATCATATCAGGAAGAGTTGTACAACTGTCACCATGTTCAATTCTAGAACATTTTCTCCTTTCTTGTATCATAGTTATTCATGTGATTTTTTTCTAATTGTGGCAAAAACATACACACCAGAACATTCTCCAGTTCCACAACTTCTACTTGTATAATTCGGTGCTGCTGATTATACATTTGGTATTGAACAACCAGTATTGATATCCTTTCCCAAATTACTCCACTACCATTGACACAAACCCCATGCCTCCTACACAAGCTGTAGTCTTTATGGGACAAATGGGGCAGCTAACTGCAAGGTCAGGAGTTCGAAACCACCAGCAGCTCTATGGGAGAAAGATGAGGCTTTCCCATAAACTCCCATAAAGAGTTAGGGTCTCAGAAACCCTCAAAGGCAGTTCTATCCTGTCCTAGAGCGTTGTGACAAGTTGGTGTCGATTGACTTGAGGGCAGTGAGCGAGTGCGTAATCTTTACGGGAGCCAATAGCCATGTCTTTCTCCCGAGGAGTTGTTGGGTAGCCTCAGACCATCAGCCTGCACAAGACCAGGTCTCCTCACACAGGGCTTTGGAGGCTGTGAGTGTGGGCTCGGTCCCTTAACTTGGTGTGTGACGACAAGCCTTGGATTCTCCTTCATCAGTGCGAGGACAACCAAACCTTGCACAGAATTGCTATTAGAAGAAGTTGAAATACACATAGTCCCCGACGTATGATGGGATCCATTCTGACAATTTTATCCTAAGTCGATTCTGAGGCAGGTCAAATATCTCATTTTTAAAATGATTTTTCAGATTTCATCATTATTGCCTTTTATGCTCCATCTCTTTATAAATTTGGCAGCATTTCAAACAGTAAATCATGAAACAGAACATCGCGAGCGAACACCTGAGGAGGACACCGTCAGCAAGTGACAGCCTGCAGCCCACCCCCGAGGGCGAGATGTGCAAAGTCAAGCGTGGTGCATTGTAAGTCGAGTACATCCTAAGTCGGACCCGCTGCACTACTGGATGGATCTATGGAGCTTTTCCTGGAACGTTTTGAAGACCCCTCACACTGTGCCTGGTCCACACACAAACGCCCTGCCATCTCGTGGCTTCTGACTCATAAGGACCCTGTGGAGGGCTTCCAGGATGGGGACTCTTCACAGGAGCAGACAGCTTCAGCTTTTGCGCCTGGAGTGGTTTGGACTGTGGA